TCAGTGCGGGCTCCAGGCGGTCAGTGCGGGCTCCTGGTGGTCAGTGCGGGCTCCAGGCGGTCAGTGCGAGCTCCAGGCGGTCAGTGAGACTTGTGGATGCGGCTCTCTGCTCAGGCATATCAGAGGGCCCTCTGATATGCCTAAAAAGAGGGCCGTGGCCAGTCCGGACTGCCATCAGGCCACCCGCTATTCGGGTCGGGTTGGCTGACACTTAGGTCGGGTCAGCCGGACCTATTTGCAGGGGAGGGCCTGGAGCGGAAGCTCCACCTGCCCCTATGTTAATTCGGCCCTGGGTACATTCTCACAAAGGAAAAAGGGACCTACTTTCACATTCCTTGGCACTTACACTAAGGCACAATATAATCATTTGTAATTTGTAATTGTAATTTGTAATTTGTAATTGTAATTTGTAATTAAACACATTTATTATTTTTATACAAGAACGGAAGCAATTTTGTGAACTTCTTCCACCTTTTTTTCCAGATAATAAGATTATGATATATAAAAATCATATTCTACACAGCACTTTTTTATGAACAAAAATCCTGTCTTGGACCCCTTTAAATGATGTCGCCTCTGTTGACTAAACGTTTTTTCCTGCCTTTTGGCATCTCTTCCACACTATGTACTACTAAAGAGGGGAGCATGAAAAAAAACTGTTGCTTTGAGAAAAACACAGGTTTTCTGTAAGAACTTCTTAGAAAATTGCTTGAAGAAAACGTGTGTTAAGAGAAATACATACTGTGTCCTTACTGACCTGATTATAAAAGTGATAACTGCCTGGCTGTCCCTGGCATCAGCACTTTCTTAGTTACAGACCCTGTTTCAGGGCCCTGTATCATATCCTTACACCTGGACAGGAAGTGATTGAAAGTCTCTTAATTGGCTATTCATCAGATAGTAATAAATACATCTCAGAGGTTCTACTGTCTTAAAAAAAAGGTTGCATTGCCATTCTAGAAAAACAAATATAATAAAAAGCTTGGCTCCCAAACCCTAGTTGGCACATTTGTTTTGCATCAGTTACTCAAAGAATTGACGCCACTGAACCATCTGACATCCAGGAGTTTTCAGAAAGAGAATTTGTTTGTGGCAGTCTAGATTATTATGGTGGATTTATTTCCCATAACAATCAGGTGTTACCTTTTATGATACAATTAAACTGAAATTTGAAATGTTCAACAACTGATTTATTCTGTTATATTCTGATTTATTATTGGTCTGATTTATTTTCTCTAGGTTTAATGTAGCAGTCCCTATATGATGCTGTTTTTTTAAGACATCTGGTCTGATCAGCTCAAGTTTCAGGATATTAAACACTTTTCCATTCAAGAAAGGATGCCACTGCCTAATATTTTGTACCTTAGGCTCTAAGCCTGTGTGGGCTTTCCACGTAACTGGTCCTGAAGGAATTCCTACGCCATCTAAAAATAACTCTATCATAATGCCATGATTTCAGACGCCACTATGTCAGATTTAAACAGCAGGTGGGAGTGCAGATGGGGAAGGAAAATGTGTTAGCTATAGGAGCAAGGCCTTAGTATTAACGTAAAGCATGATCCTAATATATATCCTAACATATCCAGCAGATGCTTATCAACACCTTACTGGTTTGGAAACACTTATTTCTAATAGATACTGAACAGTCTACATTTACAATTTACAATACACACTTGTCTCACAGATACTGTATATTGTGTTATCAACCCTGAATTACATTTTGCATTATAACCAAATTATAGCCAAGAGATTGTTTTATTAAAATATATACATCATTTATATGCAAGTTTTACCTAAACATAAATTAAAGGAGAACTATGGGGTCAGTGTTTTTCCCAATAGTTCTCCTTGGGGTAACGGGAGGACACAAACTAGCGTCCTCCCGTCACCCTAAGCTCAGTATACCGCGAGCTACAGCTCGCGGTATACTGAGACGCCGCACCTGGAGCGGATCCCGACTTAGATGACGGGATCCGCCCAGCTGCGTGAGTGACAGCTGGCTCTGCCTATCTAGAGGCAGAGCCAGCTGTACCCGCCCCTCCCCCGTCCGTTCCGCCAGTCAGCGCTGGCAGTTCGGAGCGGGGAGAGGGGAATCCAGCCCCTCCCCCTGTCACGGCAGAGAGCCGTGACAGGATCGAGAGGTGAGGGAACCCGGTATGTTTTCCCTCACCTCCCGATCTACTGAGCCGACCTGTGACAGTCTCATTGTCACAGGTCGGCTTAGAACTATGACGTGAGTGGAAATCACTCATGTCATAGTTCTCCTTTAAGACTTGATTTGGATCAAGCTTTTTGTGCGACCAAACTGACATATTAACATGGTTTATAAACCATTTCAATCTCAGGAACAACTCTAGTTCCTTCCTGCCTGAAAAGGCCCTGTCATTTCTGTAAGTAGAATCTTCCAACCCTCCTGATGTAGTATCATGTTTTTATGACTGCCACCTTGAAGGGTATAGGAAACTCTCTCATCCTGTAAAGTCTGTTTCCCACACATTTCCTATTTATACAAGGGGACACTGTCATGACTGTACATGTTCATATACCTGTTCTCATAGTTCCCAACTGCCCCTCATTTAAAACCAAATCCCTCTGTCCCTCTTTTTCTCTTCAGTTGTCCCTCTGTTCGGTCTGATGTAAAGAACTCAATAAAATAATACATTTTAACTATTAAAAAGTATTATTTTGCACGAAACCTTTCATCTAACCTCAAAGCTGTTCCATTTGTTTTTTCTGAAAAGCCAGTATAAAAAAAACGATTGTTGGTTTAACCAATCTTTTTTTGGGTATTAATTCTTCGTGGTCTGCAAAATGGAGTCTTGATAGGGGCGGGTCTTTTGCCTACATACTTTATGCTTCAAACCACCCCTCTTTCTCTTCTTGGAAAGTTGGGAGGTATGCCTGTTCTTTGCACAAGGTTTAAAATCACATACTAATATCGACATGGCCATTAATTGAGTCTACCACTCAGTCTGCATGTAATACAGTAATTAACACTCTGGGTATACTCTCCCAAGTGCAGTAAACAGTATTATCCTTCCTGCTCTGGGAACAAATAATACAGTGTCCACATTTACAGTTTCCTTTAGGCTTCATTCATGATAGTCATATTTATTTCTTAACTCAGTCCTGTACTCACCCTTTCTAATATGATCTGTAATAGTTTTATAGTTATAGTGCATAATAATAAATCTACTAGTAAATCCTGAACAATTATTTGATAATCTGTACATACATTTCCGCATTGAAGCCACTAAAGTAGCATAACAGCCAGGCATTTTTTTAAACGTTGACAATGGCAGCCTACCTTATTATGGTAAAGTGATATAAGCTCTGTGTAGGATCTTAAAGTATACCTGCAGTAGATGTAGTTAAACTCATTTTCTAGCCTCCCCATTCTTATAGTCATCTTTCACCAATCCAATGAGATATCTGCTGTGCTTCACTGATGTGCTGTGCACTCTTATCAAGTTCTATAGAGAGTTAGTCCAGAAAACCAGGTCATACTCCATATCTCTCCATAGGTATGAATGGCAGTGCAGAGCGCATGCACAGACCCAGCCAGAAAGATTTTGACAAGCATCTCTGTGATGCTACATTATCATACAGCAGCGCAGCATAGAGGAAGAACAAAATCAGTATCTCAATGGCTTAGCAACAGTTGAGTATAAGATTGTATGGAGGGTTGGAGACATGGTGGAGAAATACAAAATAAGTGTATTAAAGTGGACCCATGGCAATTAATCCACAAAGTTCACATAAGAGACACTCAAGTTGACTTCTATTTTTTTGCTTAGCCCTCCTCCCCCTTCCAGAGTACCTGCTCTGTGTTTATATTGGAAGGCTGCCAAATCACTGCTGGGAGGGGGAGCATGGTGAGATGAGCCAACAAAAAAAGTGCCTCTGCTGTGAACTTTGAGGATGGATTACTCTAAGGTGTCTGGAGCTACAGAAGTCAGTGAGGGCTTGTTTTTAAGCTTAGTACTGCTTATTAAAAATATGTAAAAACATCAATGTCCAAAGCCTGGTCACAGGTTCACTAAAGAATCTGTCAGAGTAAATGGACAGTTGCAAGGGTGAAGTCCAAAGTTACAGTGCTGACTAGGGGGAACAACACAGAGGTCTCTAGGGTAGGGTGTGCGGCTTCTTGTTAATACGGACCTGGGTGTCCGACGTATGTAACTGGAGGAACAGAAAGGAAAAGGGGAAGCGCAACAACCGAAAAATCCAAAGAGTGAAGGGATAAGTTTATATAGACAGAGAACTGGTAGGTGGGCACCAATTCATCCCCACCACCGTCGATGACAGCACTTAATTCTGAACCTCACGGTGAGCCTCTACATTGTTTTATTTCATTACACTTGCGAGAGGTTCACTGTATCCGTTTCTGTTCCCCCTCAACTCGGATCACATTAACACCATCTCAAGTGCCCCATCATTAACTATTGTGAAGTTGTAGCAGAAGATTCCTCCTTTTTTTAAACTTTTTTCAACAAACTTTTTTCAAAAAACCTGTTCTCGAATTGGTGCCCACCTACCATTTCTCTGTCTATATAAATGTATCACTTCACTCTTTGGATTTCGGTTGTTGCGCTTCCCCTTTTCCTTTCTGTTTCTCCAGAGTAAATGGCCAGCTATCAAGGGTTGGGTTTCAAAACAATGCTACCATCTAGATATCAATAGAATTAATTAAGATTTTATGATTAAAGGTAATTTGTTAAAGCTCACAAGTTGCTTTACTGCTGAATACATTTATATTGTTCTACTAATTGTAAAATATCATTACCCATCCTTAGTATCCTCTATTACCTGTTTTGGCCTGTGAACCATATTCACATATAATAATTAGGTGTGTTGTGGGGAGGAGGCATTGCACTGGCTGCCAAAGCCACAGTGTCAACCAGGGCTGTTACAATGTTGCTTGTACCAAATGTAGCTAAAAAGTTACTTGTTGGAAATTGCATTGTATAATGCTTTTTCACTGTTGTATACCTGATCAGCCACAGAGACTTGAAGCCTGAAAACTTATTGTTAGATGAGAAAAACAACATAAGGATAGCAGATTTTGGAATGGCGTCACTGCAGGTCGGCGACAGTTTACTTGAGACCAGCTGTGGGTGAGTACATGTTTTACAACATCATATAGTAATTTTGTTTTTAATGCGTTGTTATTGTTTATTTATTAAAGTGTATGTGTAGGCAAAACCTTTAATATTAATACACCTGCCAACTTATTTTTTGCTATCTGAGTCCCGTTGGGAAGATTAGCTTTTACTTCTTGACCTGGGGACTCAGCAGTAAGGGCAATTCCTCTCCTAGATAGTTGTCGATAAACAGGAGTCCTGATTAAACAATTTCCCCTCATATCTTGTTCTGGTAACAACTGTAAAATGTTGTTTTTCCTATCACTTTCAGCACAGACCACAATCACCAGGACAAATTGAGGGTGAATCCACCCTTGGTTCTATAGCCTGTCATATCTTCAATAAAATATCCTTGATTCCTAGGAGTTATAATTTTGCTGACCTTACACAAAGAAGGTCTGAAATGGTGGAAGAAGGCCTACATAGAAACAGTACAAGATATACTGCTGGGTGATAAGAGTTGGCGCAAGGGAGAATCTGTTGAAAGGCTGTATATATTAGGTAGTGATGGAGAGTAACAGGAGAAATGAGCAGTGGGGCCTTCTGTATTATGAAGGATTTATGGCTGACAGGAAGGTTTATTTTCCTATAATACAACAGATAATCTACACTGAGGGGAATCTATCAAAACTAGAGCAGACAAAATCTGGAGTAGCTGTGCATAGTAACCAATCAGCTTCTCTCTTTAATTTTCGATTCTTAACTGAACAAAATGAAGAGAGAAGCTGATTGCTTGCCCTGGGCAACTGCACTATATTCTGTCTGCAGGTTCACCTTAAAGCTGAACTTAATTTACAGTAATTAAGACAGCACTGAATATCTATGCTGCAATTAAAATAAAAAAAAATTCTGTTCTTTACAAAGAGGGGTCTAAGTGGTTGGTGGAGTGTCTATGTTTCTGGCCCAACAGCCTATGTTCAGCAGCTACCACAAAAAACGGGCTCTCCTTGAGTCCAGGGGTCACCAAGTGCATGAAATCTACTTGTTATCAAGCACTAAGAGGTTCCAAAACCACACTTTAAGAGTCTAGAACCGTACTTTGATTCCACAATGATCAGGAAGATGACAAGAGATAGCTAATTTTGGGGTTCAAGAAACCCTGTTTATCATGGCTTGACCAATTCCATGCACACAGTCAAAAGGACTCTAACTAAGTAGCTTGGGCTTGTGTATCAAAGCCAAAAAATGGGTAGTCAGTGGGTGCCATCAATAGACAGGTTTGCAACCACACACACAGGAGTCCTTTTAAGTGGGTACAAGGAATTGCTTAAGCCCCGATGTCTGAAACATAGATACTCCACCAACCACCTAGAAAACTGGATACATCGCCTCCTCTAGAAAATCGCACTTGACCGCTTTTAAGCCCTGAAACACATTGGCTTTCTCTTATCAACTTCCTGTACTGTTCTGGGCTATTAAAGAATTACTGAGCAGACCCTAGTGCTTGACTACTACGTGAGGTTTTCTGACTGCTTTCAGTGTAGCCACTATGGTCTAGAGGAGGAGTTGCTAAATCACATCTGGCTACATTTCCCAGCAACCCTACTTTTTACACAGCCCTTGACTAACAAAAGGGCATGCATTGGAGGTAGAGGGGGAATGCAGCGGGAGGGCAAGGGGTGTGCATACTATGTGCAGCAATTTGCATACACAATGCATCCAGCTAGAGACTCCTGTTCCAGGACAACTGTCAAAGAGTCAAATTTCCCTTCATGCTGTGGAGATTTTCTTTCACTTCCTGGTTTGTCCCCAGGTCAGCAAGTAAAAGGAAATCTCCCCAAAGAGACACTGAAGGCAAAAAATAAAATGACAGGGGCTTTAACCTTTCCCCAATTTATCAAAAATGAATATTAAAAAAGTTTAGGCTATACATAAACATGAAATACTATTGTGTGTAGTTATATGTTACATATATCTGTTTCTTTTAATTACTTGGTTTCTTAGATGCTCACACTTTTACATACAAATACATAAGGTTGTGGGAAGTGTAGGGTGGTTTCAATAAAAATTGGGGACAGTAAAAGGGCTCATTGGAGAACAAAGCAACAGTACAAACTTTTTATTGGTTCTAAACCTTTCCCAGTCTATCCAGAACCCGTAAAATATAATGCCGGATTTCCATATTAATTCCCTCGATCAAACCATTACCATATCCCCTAAAATTACAGCTGTGGATACCAGTATTTTTAAGGAGAGCATCTAGTTCATTATAAACATCATTATTGATTTAGCAATTGGTGTCTTTATGTGCTATGCCATTTCACAGCTTAACCACCCAATAAGAGGTCTAAAGAATGGTGTTGGCTTTAGCAACACTAGACAAATTATGGCAGATTCTGGCTGCTGGCTAAAGGGCAAAACCCTTTTTTTTTTTTTTAGATGCTAAGTTATTTTACCCTGAGTATAAGCATGCATTGTGTGAGTACCCTGCATTGTGTTATGTATGTCTTCCTGATATTTACCTCAGGCATCCAATACTGTATATGCTTTAAATTTGTCAGAGGCAAATGTCATACATGTTACCTCCATGAATTTGTTGCATCAGAACTGACATGCTCACTGATGCTACATGCCATGTAAAATCCTGACTTACATTAGAAAAACAGAGCTACTAAACAAATTCTTCACTTTATCCTGCTGTTAACACCCCTCTTCTTTCTCTGTCTTTCCCTTTCCTGTCGTTTTTTTCATGTCTTACTCCCCTGTGACCAGGTCTCCTCACTATGCATGCCCTGAGGTGATCAAGGTAAGTGTAACTGACTTCTGGCTATCCTGCAATATTCAGCTTTCCTCTCATTTCCTTGTTAAAGGCTGTGCAGTAAAGACAGGGAGCGGTCTCTACTGGACCCATGTCCCTGCATTGCCCAGCTCCAATGCTGATTCAAGAACGATTGTCACTTTCCTTTGTTGGCCCACTGAAAGCATCTTTATGTTGTGCTTACCTGCTAGATGAGGATTTTGTGTTCACAAATACATGAGGGCCACTTTTATGGTAAGGCTTTCCTGTGCCACATTAAACCTACCCCATCTCAGACATGACTGGTTTTAGTAATATGGAGATTGGGGAAAGCAGATTTTCACAGAACCCAACCGGCTAACCCTCCATGCCACCTGAGAGAAAAAGTCTAACCTTACCGCACAAAAGGTGCAGCGCTAAATAATTGTTATTAACATTACAAAAGATCTCAAAGGGCCCTAGTTCACATCAGACTGTGTTCATTAAGATATGACATATGGTATTCACTGATATTATTATTATTATTGTTAGCCATATGACTGTTGGTTGTAGCTCTCATTTCACTACTGACAAACCTGTCCGAACCACCACAGCGTAGTGAACTAAGGCTGTTTTGTGTTGTGGCCCAACAAAGTATTGGGCCAAAGTATAGATACAACCCTGGTTCAAAGGTAACACCACCTTTCTGAAAAAAAAAAAATATGATTAAAAAAGGACATTCCAAAAAAAAGCAAATTGTAAATAGTTTCTGATACCTGTTTTGCTTGCTCATGCCTATACAGTCTTTATTTTCATTGTGTCCATAACACAGAAAAAAGTGAACGATATGTTTGATGCAATGCAGTGTATGTACATTAGGCTAGACTTGGACTTGCAGTGTTTACCTAAACACAACATTCCATGTCTCTACCATAATACATGCAATGAGCAACATTTGAGCAATACATGAATAATTACATGGTCTTTTCCTTAAGAGGACAATAAATAAAATGTACAAATTAGGAGAGTTATATGCTTTTTAGCTCAAATCTTTTTCTGCCCGTGCGTGCCCGCTAGGGGGCGCACGCGAGCAGAAAAAAATTGCCGTCTGGAGACGGCAACCCGCCAATGCTGCAGTGCCGTCCGTCCGTTTTTTTACTAGGGGCGGACAGCAAGTGGTTAAAAGAAATTTGTACGAAGAAAAAAACAGGGCTACCATTGGTGACCTTCTGAAAATGCAGCAAGTGAAGTAAAAACACCTGACTAGTATACTTTTTTCAGGTCAGTAGCTTAAAAAGTCCTAAAAATCGCTGGATTGCAAAAATTAACCTTTTTAGAAGGAAAGGTCAGTAATGGCAAGCTGCATATTGCCCCCAGTACCGGTTTCCTTTAATACAACACTTATGGTAACCATGGTCAGTAAGAATGAAGACAGCTAAGCAGACTGCCTGCATCATAGAGGTAATGTGCCAAGCTGCCCAGGTTCTTTTTGCCTAGGGATCAGCAAATCCTGATTGAAACTTAACTTAGCAGTGAATCTCATTAAAGTCTAGGTAGGGTAAATCTTGTTGGAAGATTCTTGTCCTTTTTAGTGCTAATAAGCAAGCTATTGTCACAAAAAGGACACAGGAAGTTGGGCACAGGCAGCATAATGGCTTAGTGGTTAACACTCACATAGGGTTCCTGGTTCAAATCCTGATCAAGGACACTATCCGCATGAAGTTTGTAGAATTAAATGATAAATATTTCATGAACCATTAAAAGTATTATTTTCCAGTTACAGTTATATCTCATCAGCGGTAAGGTACACAGATGGCCACATACATTTGGTGTTTGCTTCATTTTGTCATACTGTAGTTGACCAGATTTGGCTGAACACTGAATTACACATGTGCCCATTTTGGCAGACATGATTAAGTCACATTGGAACCGAGCCATTGCAAATTGGGTCAGCCAGTAACCTCAGTCAACATATGTGTGACATAGTTGGCCAGCCATGCTGACAGTATAATTCAGGCACTCAATCCATCACCTAAATTGGAGGGTTGGACTGTTGGACTTTGCACATTACCTTGTGCTATATAAAGCCAACTATAAATAAGATCAGGCTTATTTGATAAAGTAGATCAAGATGCAGAGAACAGTGATGAACAATAATCAGTTTTTAGTTTACTGAGGTGTCAAAAACAGTTTTTGATTGGGTGCTGAATATTTTACTAAATGGCCAAATGGGCTCTTACAATTGTAAAAATACTACGCTTACTGGGACAATTTTGTTTATGATTTTCATATTTAACTTTTTGCTAAAATAAGGTACAGTACCTCTAGGTGAACAGCTAGCTATGAAGTTCATTATTTGTGAACTGTGTTCTGGCTATACAATTTGTAGTCATGTTCAGCCAGTATTTTGATCCAGACACTCCTGTAGACAGCACATTCAGGTCTATGACCTCCCTGCAGATTATACTACAATTAGGAAATGCAGCTTGGTCAAGGATCCACCCCCAACATTAAAATACAACCTTGACTAGATGTATTGTAGTGTATTAGATAACTAGAATCAAAATCAAGACAGATGAAGTCACTGTGTAAAAGTCAATTTTTCTGGTTCAAGCATGAACTGTTTCCTTTCCTACTGTGGGAAGTTCAAACACATCTGCATGTTTAAAGCTGAACTACAGACAGAAAAACTTGAATTTAAATACAGGTATTCCTCACTTAACGACCGAGTTCCGTTCCTACGACCAGGTCGTTAAATGGATTGGTCGTTAAGTGAGGAACTCTATACAGTACTATACTGCATTAGTACAGTACTGTATAGCGTTGCCGATGTACAGTACCGAACAGTGTACTGTACATCCGGCAATGGAAATACTTACCGAGACCTGCAGTGAAGATCGGGGGATGTCACTTCCGCCGGCGACCCGTCGCACTGACGCTGACGCGGAAGGTCGGAGGTCGATCGGCGGTCCGTCGTAAGTACGAGTGGTCGCAAAACAGGTAAGTCGGTAAGTGAGGAACATCTGTATATTCCTCAATAGCCTAAAGAATATAAATTCTGCAGCTAACGCTTATTTCCATAACCGATTAGTTAGCCGATTATTAACTTCGATTAATCAATTACTCTGATAAAATAAAAACAATATTAATACTGTCATTTATTTAAAATAAAATACACAAATGCAGCATTACAGACATAAAGTTTACTTCAGAATAAAACGGTACGCACATTTAAAAAAAATCACACTGGACTGGAACGCAGGGCATTGCAGTACTGCACGTTCCAGTGCGGGCCGATCACACTGTGGACGGAAGGTGCATTTGGGACCCATTGAAATGATTGGCACCCTAATGCACTTCCTGCAGCAAAATTTGTCAAGCCGAAACTGTAAATGACTTTTCCCACCTATATCTATCTATCTATCTATCTATCTATCTATCTATCTATCTATCTATCTATCTATCTATCTATCTATCTATAGATATATATATAAAAAATTGTATGTATTATATTAGACATTTTAACTAGGTTCATGGATTTAAAATAATGTGAATTGTAAAACTCTAAGCCAATATAATATAATAACCTTTTATTTAAAATAACACACCAAACATTTTTCTTTTTTTCTATTTTTAATTTGAATTTATGTAACTTTATTTATTTTTTTATTTGTTTGCATTTTACATTTTTTATTTATTTAACTTTTTTTTACTTTATGCATTTTTAAGTCTTTTTAATTTTCGTTTATTTAACCATCTCCCGTCTGCCGAACGTTCAGAAATGGCCGGACGGGAGCCTTCTGGATGCAGGTGGGCGTCTTTAAACGTCCTTCATGCCCACAACCGCTCACATGCACCCCCTGGCTTGTACGAGCAGGAAACTGCCAGAATTTGAAACAGCCAGCGATGGCTGTTTACATACAAGCGGTCCGGTGTCTGTAAAGATGCTCGATCGCTTGTATGATACACCTCTCTGTGCCCCCCCCCCCTCTCCTTACCTCTCATCGCCGCTGTCCCCACAATCCCGGGTGTCTGATCAGAGACCGGCAGTGTGGCTCCAGTACACTATCTTCCTCAACTCTCCTCCCCGTTCTCTGAATGCAGGAGGAGATGTTTACTACATTACTTCCGCATTCATCTGTCACTTTCCGGCTACAGAAGCCGGAGAAAAGCTGGTGAAGCAGATCCCTAGGTGACATTGGGGGTCTTAGAGACCACTGATGTCTGCATAAAGAGGACCTGTCACTGTATTTGATATCACATAGGGGGCTTCTTATCCCCCTATGTGATATAAAGTTAACCTAAAAAAAAGAAGATTGGTCACAAAAAAAAACCCCAATTTTTTTTTTAAGTCCCCCACCCCCACATAGATGCACACAAATGCGATAGGTGCGCTTACGCGCACTTGTTACATATCATCGCGAACGTCAGAGTGTGAGCAATACTTTTAGGGCCATCAATCACTGTTAACACTAATCTGAAGAGCTGTAAAAGCTTTTACAGCATGGCCTATGGCCAATTTTGTGTGTGGTAGTTGTTTTGCGGGCAGCGCAATTTTAAGGCTTGACATGTTTGGTGTCTATTTACTCGACGTGCCCCCATCTTTTACATTTTACCAAAAAAATTAGTTAACAATAAAAGTTTCCTAACATAGTAAAGAGAAAACATTTTTTCTTTTTAATTTTTGGTACTTTTTTCTTATAGTAAAAATAAAAACCCAGTGGTGATTAAATACCACCAAAAAAAAAGCTCCATCTGTCCCCAGAAAATGATACAAAATTAATTTCAGTACAGCATTGCATGACGGAATAAATGTCAGTCAAAGTACTGTAGTGCTGAATACTGAAAAATGGCCTGGGCAGGAAGGGGGTGTAAACACCCCGGTCAGCAAGTGGTTAACTTTATTTTTTTTAAGCTTCTTGGCCTGGGCAGGAAGGGGGTGTAAACACCCCGGTCAACAAGTGGTTAACTTTATTTTTTTTAAGCTTCTTTATATTACTTTTTTTTTTGCTTTATTGCTCGGAGCAATA